CTCCCTCCCTCCCTCCGCCCCAGCCGCCTATAGCTCTGACTGTGTTACTTGCTCACTCTTGGGGACCGCGGCCCCGGCCTCCCCCACTCACCCTGTTTCCGCCGCCGTGTGCTTTCCCTTCTTCACTTTCTCTGCGCACTTTGCTTAGACTTTGGGGCCAAGTCAGAGTTTGAGGCAAGTTTGGGAAACGGTCTTCCTCCCTCTTGTTTTGCAAGGGGCCTGGGCCCCGGGCCCCAGCAGGCAGGTGTGTCTGGGGGTGCCGGTGGGGGAGACTGGAGCCGGACAGGGCCCAGCCGCTGAGAGAGCCCTTGGGCCTGGGGGCAGGCAGGCGACTGCAGCGGGCGCAGGGGGTACGGTGGGGGGCGGTTTCCACAGTAACCAGTGACTTTAGCTGATCTCTGGAGCACCAGATGGAGAGAGAACAATAGAATGAGGGAAGAAAAGAGAATTTTAGCAATTTTGTCATTCCCTGGGCAGCGCTTTTTACTTAGTTTTAATCAATTTTGGACCTGGCTCAGGAAGCAGAGAGGGTGAGCAGAAAAAACCACTTTGTGCTTGGCAGCCGATGCCCCCCCCCCTTTCCTGGGATCCGTGAGGAGGCACTGGGGAGCTTTCCTGGAAACACCTTTGTCCCTAACTCCAGGCCTTGAACTGGAGTCGTCTTTCTCTGAGGGAGGGGGGCTCCCCCCGTCTGAGCACTGGTGGTTGTCCCCCTGCTGTGCAGCTCAGGGGACCCCAAGGGGACCAGCCTGGGGTCTGGGCCTGGTCCAACAAAGACAGGGGCCAAGCAGGCCCTCCGTGTCCCGGTTGTCCCCCGCCCCCTCCGTCACAGGGAGGGTGAGGACCAGGCTCGCACAGCCGTGGCGTGAGGGTTCCGGTGTGGTCTCCCCTTGGGAAGGGGGCTCCAAAGAACACCGAGGCCTGAGACCGCAGTGACAGGGGCTCACTGCAGACAGCTCCCCTACCTTTTCAGGCCGGGACTGGAAGCCCAGGGGCTAGCTGCCGACTCAGGCCCCGCCAACAGCTCAGGGGGTGCCTTGTGCCTGGGTTTCCCCCACGCACGGCCACGTGTCCCACGAGCCTCCCTTTCGCCTTCAGTCAACGGATGGGGCTGGACTTCGGGCAGGTCCCCTGGGAGCCCCGCCGCAGGACGGCCGGTCTCCTCCGTGCGTGCCGTCCAGCACATCGCAGGCAGTGAGCATCTCTGCCCGTCTGGTAAATGCCAGCAGCACCCCAGTCATTGGGGCACCCCCAGAGCCCCATGTCTCCCAATGCTTTCCATCTGCACCATCCACCCGGGCAGCCACTGGCCACGTGTGGCTGTTGAAGTTTAAATGAAATTACTAACTAGAGAAAACTTTTAGTCCCTCAGCCATACTAGCCCCATTTCAGTTGCTTAGAAGCCACCGCGTGGCTACTGGCTACCAGATCAGATAGAGCAAACAGGGAATGTTTCCGTCGTCACAGAAGGTTCTCGGTGATCTTCCAGGCCCCTTCTAACACTAAAACTCCATGTGTTTATCTCACAGTAGATGACAACCTGCGGTCCCCAACCAGAGCCGGCGGGGCAGGCCCGGCCTGCAGGCATGATCTGTGTGTCTGAAACAAGTGTTGTTAAACATTGACAACTTTCACATGAAAATCCGTCTGGCCTTTTGGCTTCTTTTGAAGAGTTGGCCGATCGGCGCCCCCCCCCCCCCCCCCACCCCAGGCCCTCACTCCAATGTGGCAGCCTTGGCCCTGGGCTCCCTGGGAGCATGCCACATGAAGCAGTTAGGAGCACCGACTCTGAACTGTTCCCTGCATTTGAGTCCTGGCTAGGCCACGCGGGTGGGCGGTGTAGCCTCAGGCAGATCAGCCACCCTCTCTTCATCTGGCTTCTGTGTGTGGTTGGAGCAAGGGGAGAACGGGTCATTACCCAGTGCAGGCTCTGTTAGCCCGGCTTGGCCCCTGCCGATCTGAGTCTGCGGCCCGGAGCCCCAGAGGGGCCCTGAAATACATTTTCAGGGACCCCTTTTTGGCCCCAAGGGTATTACCCAGGTACTGTAGGCCAGAGAGAACACGTCCCCCTTCCAGTCCTCCCCCACTGCCCCTTGGCCACAAGGTGGGGCCAGAGCCTCTGGTGGAGGGCATTGCCAGGCGGCCCGGCCTCCGGGTCAGGTGTGTTTTGTGAGCAGGAGCCACCAAGGCTCGTTTGTGGGAAGGTGGCTCCCCCTGCTGGCACCCTTAGGGAAGCCACTCCTGCCCCAGGGAGACTGCGGTCCTTCCCCAGCACCAGGTGCCCTGAGGATAGAGGATCAGGCACAGTGGGCTACAGAGCCCCTCCCCCAGGCCTGGTCCCGCTAGGGACTAAAGCCATGTGGCATCCCCCGCCCCCTCCCCAGCCTTTCAGCCTGTGGGACCTTGGCTGGGGAGTACAGACGGGAATTTCTGCTTTTAATCCAAAGAGACAGAAAGAAAACTCAGCAAGAAGCTGTGCCACCCCCCACCCCACTCCCAAAACCCCTCTGGGGACAAAAGCTCCAGCCTGGCATCCTCCCCACCCTCCAGGACCCACACAAAAACCTAAACAATTGGAAACATGGCCAGATCCCAGGTCTGTGCCTGTGCCAGCTTCAGCCACGGGGGTCCCACCCGCTGGGCACCGTGCCCACGGGAAGGCCAGCTGGACTCTGGCACTGGGGGCAGAGTCTCTTGGGGGCGGCAGGATTCCCATCGGAGGTACCGACAGAATGGGGAGGTACCTCTTCATGGGGTGCCGGTGTCCTTGGCTCTGCTGGGACCGGGCCCTCCGGGGACCTTGGACACTGGCCTGCAGTCAGCTGGCCAGGGGGGGGCAAGAAGAGCGGTGCCCCCCCCCCGCTCTTTT